AGTTAGTTATATTCCATGTTGCACGATCGACGTAAAATTGACTAACGATACAAGTTTGCGGAAATGGCTATGCAATGCATATTAATGATTATGATTTTTCAATTCGCAATTATGGGCTGTTGCGCTATAAATGGATTAATCTGGCTGAAACAAAAGCAGAAATTTGTGCAATTGTTTAGTATTCCGCAATTTGCCACTCTTCAGAAAGAAAATTTAGCCAAACGTCAAGCACTAGAAATACGCGATATGAGAAACGAAGTAGTGAGAGCTGTGTATTATGAGGTATTAAGTGATTCTAAAAAGATTAATAAAAACATTAATTTTTGAAAGAGTTGTGTTCCAAAATTCACACATTTTTAAATTTTTCATAAGTATATGACACTGTTATAATATTAAAATACGCATGTTGCGCGTAATAATTTTGTTCTGTTTGTAGGAAAAAAATATGGTAATGTTTTACGACAATGACACAAAAGTTAATGGTATTTGCGGCGATTTATGGTATCTTCTTGAGGATTATCTAAATTTCACGTACGTTACGATTTTTTATAATAAATATATCGAATAATATTGCAATTGTCTTTGATGCTTTATATTATGCATATGTTTAATCACGCAATGAAATTTGTTAATCAAAAATTAAATTATCATATTTTCAGATTTGTCCCGATCAAACTAAACAATCAAGATTTTGGCGAGAAGCTAGAGAACGGTAGCTATACCGGCGTAGTTGGTATGCTAACACGAAATGAAGCGCAGGCAATTATGAGAACTGGATTCTTTCTAAGTCGTATGGATGCCATGGACTACACAACAGCTCTTTGGAAATGCCAGTGAGTTTTCAAGTCGATATACTCGTATATATATATATATATATATATATATATATATACACAGACATATATGTATACACAAAGGATTTTCTTTTAGAATTTACCTTGAAAACCATAATTGTGGGATAATACTATATTGGAGAAATTTTATAAGAGTTTTTCTGATTAATATTTACCACAATAAAATATATTAATATATCTAATAAGATATAAAATATATTCAATTAATTTTACTATGTAGATATAGTCAAATTTACTATGCGTACATATTAATATTTTTTATTGTGGTAAATATTAATCAATGAAACTTTTATAAAATTCTTCCAATATCATATTGTCTTACGATTACCAATGATTTTCAGGGAAATTCTAAGAAAAAATTCTCTCCGTGTACGATAATATAAATATAAATTAACGTAATTGTTTATTTTTGAAAACGCGCGCACATTTCGAAATTATTAATTAAAATTTCTTTGTGTACAACCGAATGGAAGAAAAAAAATAGAAAGAAGAGTTACTGTTTTATCTATGTATATATTTTTTATCTGCATATCTATATGGATAATTATTAATGAACTGATTTCAGATTTCATATTTATGTTAAACCGGAATGGCTATTCGATAATACATGGATATTAACGTTATTTTCACCGAAAACATGGTATTTTATAATATTATTGCTGATTATTCTAAGTTTGGTCGGTTATTTTCTGCAGAAAATACCGAGGAATTACAAACCTGAAAAAGAAGTCTCTAAAAATTTTAGTCTAAGTGATCATTTTTCTATTCTTATGCGATGATGTGCGGACAAGGTATAGTAATATAATTAAGAAAATTAAGCGTAAAAACGCATTTTTTCGCTGATAGAATAATTTTGTGCTTTTTTTACAGGTTATATACCTGATGCTTTTTATAATAAAAATAAAATTTTGTCATTGTCAAAGAGTTTATTCGCATGGCTGATATTATTAGCTTTTAGTTCTCATCTTATATATCGTATGACGAATAGAGACCCAAGGTTGCCATTTTATGATATAGATACTCTATTTTCTAATACAAACAAAACCCTGCTAGCATTTCGTGGCTCTATCATCTATTATTATCTTTACGTAAATATTTAAAAAAATTTGTTATCATAAATTTTTCTGTCTTAAAATATAGGAATCTTAATCAATAAATATTAAGCGGTTAAATGTACACGGAGAGAATTTTTTCTTAGAATTTACCATAAAAATCATGGTAATCTTGGACAATACGATATTGGAAGAATTTTATCCATGATTACCATGATTTTCAGGATAAATTCTAAGAGAAAATTGTCTCTGTGTACATATGTATACGTGAAACAAAATTAATATTTACACAATAATAAAAGAAATTTGCACACTAATAGTATTCGGGAGTTTGCTTGAATTCCAGTGAATGTTTTGCAAAATAAAATAATTTACGTTTACAATTTTTTATTGTGCCATACATTAAATAATTGCTATAACAAATAATTTAAAGATAACATATTTTAAAGGCAATAATTTATCACTTTCTATTTTAGAGTAAATATGGAGAAAGAAGTGACAAAAATCTACTTGACCGTGTTCAATTCATAGATGTTGCGGAGGATATGCACAATAAAATGTGCAACAACAAGAAAAAATATGCATTGTTCGAAATTAGCGATCGATTTAACGCATTGAATAGAGACGACTGCCGCCTCGCAGCTGTAGGTGATTACAATGAGACATATATATCATTTGGAGTTCAGAAGAATTATCCTTACAAGAAAACTATAGATTATGCGTAAGTATTATGCAAGTATAAACATTAAGATTTATATTTGTCATTTAAGAAACTATTAATAATAGATATTATATTTTTTTGTCATCAATCTATTTTTCAGACTTATCAAATTTATTGAAGTCGGACTGATGGACGCTCTTTCAGATCGTTGGTTGAAAACAAAAATGGAAAATACAGAACAAAAACAAACACAGTTCAAGATGATCGATTTGCATCAAGTCTACCTAATTTTTATGATACTCTGTTGGGGAACGCTTATATCATTTGGGGTACTCGTTTTGGAAAACATAATATACTATTACGAAATAAAAAACACTCAGCGTAGACATATATCAATAAATTTTGTTAGAAAAAATTATAATTAGAATTTTAAAGAAAACTGAATAATATACAATGTTTTCAATAATATCAATTTTCTCTCCCTGTCTCTTAATTAATTAGTTATTTAAATAATAATTAAATAATTTTTCTTCTAGCTTTTAATATATGTATTTACTTAATTAGATTTTATTTTATTATAATTATTTAGTAAATTAAATACCCATAAAACCGTAAAAAATCCATACATATATGTATATATGATGTCTCTCTAATATCCATAATGTCTCTCTCACTAATTTTTCATTTTTATTTCTGCATTATTTTTTACGATTATGATATTTTTTACAGTCGAGAATATATTTTATGATATTTTATATACAATTATATAATATGTTTCTTAAAATTACATATAAAATATGTTCATAAATATATTCCTGACTGTAAGAAATATCATAATCATATAAAAATAGTGCACAAATAAAAATAAAAAGTTAATGAAAGAGACATTAAAAGATTTTTATCTAAACTTTTGTTCTTATTTTATAGATAAATATAAAATATAATGTATTAAACACGATGTATTACATCGTACAAAAATTGTTTATTTGAATAAATCGTAAAATAATATTAATAATTATCACATTGTAGATATTCAATAAGAATCTTTAAAAAATTTATATAATTACTCACTCTAGAGTTGCTTCGCCAGCGCGTGATGTCTCTATAGTTGAACTGTAACATATAATAGAATCCAAATTATAGTAGCCAAAATAAAAAATATATTTTTTATAAATAGTAATAAATAAAATAATAAAAATTATTCACTTCATGGTTGCTCCGCCGTTGCTCGATGCTACCCCAGGCCTCCTTGTGTACTCTGATTTAATTTTCTTCGTGGTACACATTAGCGAAAACAATTAATTATAATTAAGCGCGCACTTGCAAAAACTTAATTACATTTACACTAATTACACCCAAATATAATTAATGGACGCGCACTTGATTATGGCGGGAAAGCGGGACAAGCGCGCGAAACTCGACATATTCATATCGTTCGCGATATTCCTAGAGACTAATCTCGCATGCGCGCAAACAGCAACAATTTTAACAAGCTATCGATGGTCATCCAAGCGTCGTATTTACATGCCACGCGATCAAAATTTATTGAAACAGATAAAATATGATTTTAATACATGACACTAATAGTCTATGATTAAAGTAATAATTATACATTGAGTAATTGAACTTACGATAATATGGATCACATGTTTTTTTTATAAATATATTATATGTATATGCTTAATGCTTTTCACAAGTTCAAGATTTTGTAACTGTACAATTATTTACATTAGTATATACAATTATTAGTTGCAATATTGCTTTTATTGAAAAATTAAAACACATAAAATTGATCGTCTTTAATGTGTGCATTAGTTTTGTGATAATATATCAATGTACCTTTAAATACAATAATCAAAGCACGACACATTGCGCAAATCATGATAACGATTAAAATTGATTAGTTACGATAAATTATATAAATATAATATAAAATTCTCGATGCGAGATATTTCTTTTGATCGCAAGTAATGGTTCTAAAAAGTAAATATTAAATTGTGTATTTTTATATATTAATTTTATTATACTCATTGTTACTGTTTTTGTATTGGAATATGTAGCCATTTATATATTATATATAATTATTCTTTTATGTATTTTTATATACAATTTGATAAAATATAGAAAACGGAAGAGTAATATATCTAAAGATTGCAATCTGACATATACGTCTAACGCAATTTAAAAAAAAAAATAGATTTTATCTAAAGTGACATGATTGTATGCCTTTTTTCATCTATCATAAACCAATCCAATGATCATTTTTTTTCTTGGATATAGATCTTTAATATATTAGCGGATATGTAATAAATAAATCGAGTCTCATCGCTAGGAAAAGCAAAAATATTGTAAGTCTTGTAAGGCGTTAACAATATATTCTATGGAACAACTGTTATTTTGATTATATTGTATAAAATTTCATTGTCTGACACAATGAACGGTGTTATCTGGAGCAAGATGCAAAAGACTTTTGTGCCGATTTCTAGTGTACCAATGTATGCGATGTTACAACAAGAACGTCACAGACAGAGTCGAGCACTTGAGACTTACAATTTTCAAATGCAGAATTTGACCGTAACATCTTTTAAGGTACAAAAAAAGAAATATATATATATATATTTTTTTGTTAATATTATCTTTTCAATATTTGTTAATTAATAGAAAGAAGTGCTAACATAGTTTTATTCTATTTTTATATAAAATTTTAATTATTTTGTAACATTTTAAAATGCGGTACTTTAAGTTTCAGTCGTAAGAATCGTAAGAAATTGTAAAAATTGTATGTGAAATTAATTGCATAAATAATTCACAACATAGATATTTGCTAAATGATGCCCTATTAAATTAAGAGGTTGAATGATAATTTCATCGATTATATTATACTTTTCAGGAACAGTATTATTTTGATTTTTACGATAATAATACAAAAGTTACAGGACTTTGCGGTGAAATGTGGAATCTTCTTTCCAAATTGTTAAACTTTACGTAAGATTGCACGAATTATAAATTGCAAAAACAAACCTATTTTATACCTTATGAGAAACTAATGACAAATTAAATAAATAGTAATCAAAGTATTTCCCTTTTTTAGATTGCAACCCATGAGAGTAAACGTAGACGGCATGGGCGTTCAAGACGAAAATGGAACTTATAAAGATGGATTATTAGGTATTATTTCCCGTAATGAAACTATTGCAATACCAAGGGTTGATATGTTTGCCGAACGAATTATTGCTCTTGATTTTACATTACCTTTTGGAATAAACAGGTACATCAATTTAATTCATTAAAATTTTGTAATTTTGATTTTTCGTGATTTTTAAAATTTATTGTTAATTTAAAATTTGTTGAAAATATAATTAGTTTAGTATTGATATTAATTAACTTAACATCAATTAACTCAATAGTGATAGTAGCTTAATTAGTTAAACTACATTATAGATGAATATAATAATGTATATAATAATCTTAAAATAAAATTTCACAGTTACAATTTGTATATTCATTGTGAAGTGATACATGACAATGAATGGATGTTAAGAGTTTTCTCTTCAGAAATATGGTACATTATATTGATAATGTATATATTAATAAGCATATGCACTTTTTTGACGCAGAATATTCTTGCTATATGGAATAAAGATAAATATAAAAATACATCTTTCAACGAACATTTATTTTATAACTTCGGAAATCTCTGCAATCAAAGTACGTACAAATGATCGATTAATATGTTGCAACCTTGCTCGTCTTTCTTAAAAGAAATGAGACATTATATCATAATAATGATAATGAGAAATCATATTAATTTGTAATAATTGTTACATATATATTTATGAAGGCTACATTCCCGAGTTTCTAAATAAAAGATCAAGGATGTTAGAAGTATCGCTAGGTTTTTCTGTTCTTTAATATACATAGCATTTGGTGCTGTATTATTTATTTACATAAAAAAGAATGTTTATGTACCACCATTCAATAGTTTCACTTCTTTATTAACTAATACTAAATACAGCGTTATCAGTCTGAAAAGTTCCACTGGAGCTATGACATTTAAGGTATTTTAATAAATATGTTTACTTACATTATATATACATATACCATATATACATATATATATATATATATATATATATATTTCTTGTTAATCTTTGTGAAGATGCTTTTATATTTCATACGTTGAATATTTGCTATTAAAAATTTATAGGCACACTCTGATCCGCGAATTATACAAGCAAGAGAGGCAAAGCGCTTGATCATAATATCAAATATTGAGAAAATGGAACAATTAGCATGTTTTTCGCAAAAAAAAGAAATATGCGATATATCAAGGAGAAGATTATTATAAAAAGAGAAAACATGCTGCGTGTAATTTAATGCCGACTGGAAAACCTTTAGTAAAAATATGGGCAGCTTCCGGCATCGTAAAAAATTTTAAATACAAAAGAACCGTGGATCTTGGGTAAAAAAAATATCTGCATAAAATATTTTAGACAAAGTATTTTAGAGAAATTATAGAAATTAATAGCGATCATACAGTTCTTTAATAAATATGATCTGTCTATATTTCATTATAAGTAAAATTTCTACACGAGATTATTTTAATTTTGCAATTTCTATCATTCAAAATATCTATCTATAAAAAATAATAAAAATTTCCGTGAAATTGATAAAAAAACTCCTATGATATATTTGTTATTGTAATTCAATTTTATATAATTCTATATTCTTTAGGTAATATTAATCTAAATATTTTTACAAAAGAGACAAATAGAAAAAAAGGCAAATAGATATAAAGCCAAATACAACTTAATCTGATTCAAAGCCTTAATCTGTGCCAAATCAATTAAACTGATTTTCTCTACTAAAATTCTCTACTAAAAAAAATTCATTTGTAAAATAAATCAATACTGCGATTTTATTTTTTGGATACTCGATATGGTTTTTCATAATAAGCTTATAAAGATGAATTTAATAATTACAATTTATATATTATAATATATAATTTAATAATATTATAATATTATAGTAACTTCTACTATAATATTATAGTAATTTAATAAACAAATATTCTTTTCATGAGTAGGATCCTCAAGTTAAGAGAAGTTGGACTAATAGATGTGTTAAAGAATCGTTGGTTGGAACAAGGAAGTGATGAACATAATTGTAATGACAATATACCACAACCAATTGAGCTATATCAAGTTTCTTTAGTAATTGCAGTGTTGTGCTGTGGAATCATAATTGCTTTTATTATCTTTATAATTGAAAAAATCGTGTTTGTTTATAAAATCAAGCAATTATGATTATTTTCATTTATACCACGATGCATATGTATATTCTGCAGATTTATTTGCAAGTAGAAACTTAAATGCATTTAAAAAATTAATTATCATTAACTATTAGAATTATATAATAAGTTTTTATTATATATATATATATATATATAGATATATATTATATATATATATATATATATATTAATTAAACATAATAATATAAATAACTACATATATGAAGAAAAAATGTGTCAAAAAAAGTTTTTTAAATATTTTTGTATTCTCATTGTAATTATAATCAACCTCTCATTAATGAAAATCCACAGAAAATTAAAATTAAGATAATTTAAAAAAAAATAATACATATATATACTTTTGTGAAAATACTATTATTGAATTTTGTTGGAACACAAATGTGTTTTGTATTATTGCATAAAATGCAATATATTTTTTATTTTATAATCAATATACAATAGATTATTACTTATATATCATAACTTGTGAATTCACGAAGATTGTACATTTGTCACATTCTTTGTCGCATCTTTTGGCGTATCTTCTACTAATGTAGCTTCCACAGGATGAGGCTCAGTAGGTTCAGGATCATGTTTTTCTTTTGGCAGAACATATGTACCTTCTGCAATGTCTGTTGAAGTCATCCAAGATGGTATAATTTTGCCATGAATTCGCCAAACGCCGTATTCATTAGCTAAATGTTTTTCAAATACTATATATTCTAATACATCTTTCTTTAGAATTTCGCTTCCTTGTATTAAGCGACCAAACCTGTCGTAAATAGCTAATATCTGCAAAGAAAAAGATTTCAATTCAGAGATCATTAATAAAAGTATTGTATAAAAAAAAAAAAAATAAATTACAAGTAAATTAAAAGTACAAAACAAGTTACTGTTGTGTGTGGAATCGGACAGTAAGTTGCGCAAAAACATTCTCTTTTGTTATTACATCTGTAGTCCTTGCATGCACAACACGAGCTGGTTCCAAAGATTCTAAAAACTTCCAGTGTATAGTTTTACTCATTAAATTGTATATCATTTTCTAAAAATATAAAAATTATTATAATATGCAATACTATATAAACACAGATTTCTGTTATTTTAAGTTGGTAATAATAGGAGATATGTATATGCTTAAAGGATATAGTATCTCCTATGCTTAAAGAATATTAAACTTACAGGATATGCTGTTTCTGTAACATATTTTATTAACTCTTCTTTGTTTTTCCTGAAATAAAAACAATTATTTTATTTAATAATATTACTTTGAATAAACAGAAACAATATTTATTTATTGATTTCTATTTATTAATTTTTCGTAATTTTTAATTCTATTCTTTCAAAATTTCTTCAATTTGTAATATTGTATAAAATTATATAAAAATATTTATTGTGTATTAATTATATTTATATATTTCTTACACAGCTAAAGCTTGATGTGCCTTTTGATAAATTTCTGTAGCTTCTTCAATAAAATAAGATGTCTTAAATGTGTCATCAAATGATTTAATTTCCTAATGGCCATTACAGATTTGCCCTTTTTTTCCAAAAATGTAAATTTTTGTTTTGCTCCCTATATTGCAATCATAAAATAAATGCATTAGAATTATTAATATTATGAAATCTATTAGCAAACTATTAGTAAATGATCAGTGTTTGCAAAAAATTTAGTAAAATTAAAATATACATCTCTCTTATATTTTACAAAATATATATATATTTTATATCTTTTAATTATATTATAAACAATATTCTTAAACTAAAACAAAACAAAAAAAGAGAAATTACCTCTTTAGTGATAGCAGAATATTTTCCATCTCCTTCAGGAGCAACATAACTTTCAAAAATAGTAGGGGTAGAGCTGATAAATGATGGTCTTTCCTGCCAAGCTTTTTGTGGAATAAAACCAGACTCCTCATACGAGAGCGTATTTGCTCTTTACTCAATTCAGAATGATCTTTTCTTTAGTAAATGATGGAAGTTTTATTTTAATAACTTTTTCTCTTCTTAGTTTTTCCATTTTGGATTCCAGTGTTTACGTATATATCTTACTTGAGTAAAATCATTAGGATAATTAATAGCACCAAGCAATGATAGTTTGTTCTGAAATACAGAATTGTGTTATTCAGATTTTTCCTTTTAAGGATGGTAATATTACAATGTTCTATACTTGAATGAATAATTCTTTATTATATAAATATATCTATATATAACTGTAAAAAATATTTTAAAAATTATTCATATATAAGTTAATATATACAATTTTTAAAACACATTTATTTTAAAGTAATAAAAATGAAATCAAATACTTGAGATTTGATATCCCTAACATTATAATATAGAAAGGACTTTATTAATGTCTATAAAAAATCTTTACAAATATTAACGTAATAAAAATTATTAAATTTATTAAATTTCATATTAATAATTAAGCGAGAAAGTCATTTGTAACAAACTTTTTTAGAGTTTTCTAAGAAATAAAGTTCTAACTAACCTGCATAAATTTCCCAGAAGTAAATATCGAGCTTGCGCACTTTAATAACATTTTTGGAAACTTTGTTTACAGAGAATATGAAAAAACGATCACATACATAAATTAGATGTTTTCAAATATTTTTATTACACCTCGTGTATTTATTTTATTAATCGTCCGAGTTAGATCGCATTGCACATTGCATGAACATAATAAATTCTAACCTAACCTGACCTAACTTAAAATTCGCTGCGTTTACGTTGTTGATAATTTCGTCGATGATTTTATCGATGCAGTAAATGTAGCTAAATAATTCCAACTTTCAAAAATGAATGTGGTAGCGCTGCTTTAGGAAAAATTTAGGGAAATAAATTGAACGAAATCTCGTGTCCTCGTGTTATACTCGTGTTATATTGATACATAACAATATTGTGCGTTTTTAAATATTTATGTATTCTTTCCTAAAAGAAAAAGTGATACTATAAATGACCGTAAATTTCTCTTAATTAATGAATAAGGAGGAGAGAAGTTTGAAGCTATTTTAATATACAATATATTTATAAATTAAAAAATTGAGAGATTGTGCTAATGTTGTGTAAGACAAAATATTGCTTCTTAAATAATTTCTACAATTCGTTGGTTGAAGAATCAATTAGGTATACGAAATATATTAAATAAAATTATATAAAGACATATATACAAAAATATAATCAATTTAGTTTATAAAATAATTCTTATAACCCCTATTTTCATAAAGTACACAACAAAATTCACACACATATAAAACTTGAAATTAATCTGAGAAATATATCTGAGTTTATTTTAGTTTATTTTATTTTTATTGTAATTTTGAGGTTTATTTTAATATTGTATAATACTCATATGAATATTTCTGTTTAGGAAACACTTGTCATAGAACTATGTCAATCACAATGGATTCCATAGCTCAGCCTGATATAAATACCAAGCGTGGAGAGAAAAGATCTATATTAGACGATGGCAATGAGACTGAAGTCAAAATACAAAAGACAGAAACAGAGACAGTGCAAAGGATAAAAGAGAAAAAATTATGCTGTGTTATTAGGATATCTTGGTAAAGATTATTATGGCATGCAAAGAAATCCTGATATGAAAAAACTATTGAGGAAGATTTGATTACTGCCTTATTAAAGGCAGATTTAATAACTACAGAAACATTTTAATAGTATAAGTTCAATCAGTTTTCAAAGAGCTGCACGTACAGACAAAGGAGTATCAGCAATTAGGCAAATTGTTTCACTGAAACTACGTAAGATATATTTTAATAATATTAATATAATATTTTAGATTTTAAACATTTTTTATTTAATTAAATCATTTTAATTCATGTTGATTTAATTCATGTATTTTTATATAATTAATAGCCCCTTAACAATAATATTTATTATTAAGTAATTATTCTTAATAAAATTTAGAATATATTATCAAAAACAGTTAAACATTTTTTTATTTAAAATAAATGTATATTACACTATTAAATACTAAATATTTTTTGTAGCGGAGAAGTTTGACAAAACAGTAATAAATAAATTTTTACCTGATGTAATCACAGTATTTGGTATAAAACGAGTAACAAAAGGTTTTAATAGCAAAAGACAATGTGATGCACGTACCTATAGATACATCATTCCTACTTTTGCATTTGCATTGGAGGATCCAACGCTATTAAAAGTTGGAGAAAAAGTTAATGAAGATGAGAGAATCGAACAGTTGTCAACTATTGCTGGACAGCCATATATTGATTATAGATTATCTCCAGAATCTTTAAATAGATTAAACTCAATTTGAAGCTTATGGAAGGCACACATAATTTTCATAATTTTACATCCAAAGTGTGAGTAGTATTGATTCAAAGGAATATATTTTTATCTTTACTATTCAAAATTAAAGCAAACATTTTGTTTTATTCAGAAAACCACTAGATCCACGAGCACAACGTTACGTACTGAAATTCCATTGTGCAGAAACATTTATTTCGGATGGTATGGAATTTGCGATATTGGAAATTAAAGGACAAAGTTTCATGTTACATCAAATTCGAAAAATGGTCGCAGTTGCAGTAGCGGTTGCAAGAAATATTGCATCCGAGGAAGTTATTAACGAAGCATTTAGACAATGGATAAACTGGAGATACCAATTGCACCCAGCTTAGGATTATGTCTATGTTATGTAAGAAATTTTAATAGTACAATATTTTCTTTGAAGATGTAAAATTTATATTATTTATGTTATTTGTATTTATTTTGTAATATAAAGAAGTTATAAATCAATCTTTAATAATAACTATTAATAATTATACATATATCTAATAATTGTTTGTTGTAATTAACATAAAATTTTCTAAAATAAATTATTCAATAAACGTAAATTGACAGGTACATTATGATAATTATAATAAGAGATATGGTACAGATGGTATTCATGAAACATTGGACTGGAAAGAATGTGATGAAGAAGTAGAAAAGTTTCAGAAGGAATATATTTTGAAACATATGGTGAATACCGAGATTTCAGAACAAACGTATCCTTTTAAATCAATAATACTATTATGTAATAAATTTTTATTTTATTTTTATATTATCAAAATATTTTCTGCTATTTACCTTAATCAATGCAATGTAGGACATTAAAATGGATAGCAAATCTTTCTTCCTATTCATTTAGTAAGAAAGAAGAGGATTTTGTGGAAGATAATGAAAAACAAGAAACTGTGGACAATAGTATGTAAATGTAAGATACATTATTTTGTCTTTGTACCAAATACATTAAAATATTCAAGAAGAAGCAAATATTTGTATTTACTATACGAGAAGTATCGATTATTTTTAATTCAAGACTATAATTTCTTGTAAGTATAATTTGTATAATTGAATGTAATAAGTATAATTATACATTTTCTCTAATTTCCAAACAATTCTATCCAAAAACATCAATGATTTTTCAATTCATATTCTGATAAACGTGTACTATCTTTATGGTACTTTTCTTGAACTGAATTGAGAATATGCGTACATGCGCCGTTATTGCATTTTTTGTCAATTGTTTATTTATCTTTTACACGAGTTTCCAGTTCAGCTAAGTATGTATGTATTAATAACACACGTACTTTCCCTGTACATCCCCGCATCTTCGTGTCCATACGCACACACAGAAATGACGCACACGTTTTGCATCGTTGGGTTATTCCCAAGTTATCCCAGTCTTATAAGTAGTAGATATCCAGTAGATGATCGCAGTGAATGATCGAGCGTCGAGTTATAAGAAGACGCGGATAGAGCAGTTGTCGATCTTTCGCCACGCAGTGCTTTATTATGCGGATTATTAAGCGGATTTTTGCGCTACTAACGACTGTTTATGGTGAGTAAAAGTCATATTACGACGTTAAAATATTACAAAACTGTAATTTTTTAAAGAAATAATTTTAGCTTTTTTCGAAATTCTTTATTAGTGTATAATAACAATATAAAAATATAAAGAAATGTAATTGTATTAAAATTAGATTCATGGAAAAATCTTTTGGAGCATTATTACTGATAAAATGACGCTGAATAATAATCGTGAGGACGCACAAAAATATATAGTTGTTTTTCTCAATGACGTTGACTGATATTATTCATATTCATATTGATTATGACATTAGTGAACTCTGATTTCAAACATTCCATAGTATTTAATTAATAAATAATGTAACGATAATATGTGTTTTAGGAAAATGTTAAATATTATATTCAAAACTATATTTAATTTAATTTACTTGTATAATCCACAAAATTATATCGGTTTTTAAATTATATTCAAAATATTTTAATTTTAATCGATAAATTAATTAATTGAATTTTTTGTGAATAAGAGATGAAAAAATTTCTTCATATTTATTTTCTTATTTATTTGCATTTGTTGAGACAAATTTGCTAAACTTTTATAAAATCATGCTAAACTTTCTTTCATGATGATTAAATATTTGCTGCATTTTAATTCAAGATATTTGTAAAGCATCATCATAATCTCAGTCAGTTTCAAAACCGGTTTGGTGTCCTTGAACCCCCTGAAGAATCTATATATGTTTACACATATTGATAGATAAATGAAAATACACGCGATGGATGTGACGCGGATATCTTTATCAAACTTGTCTCTACTATGTTTATTAAAATTTTCCTTATCGTTAGCCAAAGATAATTAAAGTTATTATAACTGATTGATTTCATCACAAAGACTTATGGTCATTAAATATATAGGATATTTCATATATATACATTATTGGAAAAATTCTAATAATAATTAAAATAATTGTATAAAATATAACTTTAATTTATACATGTGTAATTTATACTACGCAATGCTTGTAGCAAACATATACATAAAAGACGTCAGATTTTTATAATCTAATACAATTGTATAATGAAAAATAAATTTCGGCTCGTGTAAAATTAAAATAAGTAATAAATTAAAAGGCCAACTTAACGAGCTAATTAATTAGGTGTTAAATAAATTTTTTATTATACGTCATGAAAATAATATTACAAATGATAAACGTTTCGACCGTACGACAGTCTTTTTCAATACCATTATCGCTTTGCTAACATATCAAAAAATTAAATAATTTGGAAAGACAGAACTTATTATACATGTAAATTATATAGACTTATAATATGAAAAAACGCATTATTATAAGTCTATATAATTTACATGTATAATAAGTTCTATATAATTTACATGTATAATAAGTTCTGTCTTTTCAAATTATTTAATTTTTTGATATGTTAGCAAAGAGATAATGGTATTGAAAAAGACTGTCGTACAGTCGAAACGTTTATCATTTGTAATATTATTTTCATGGCGTATAATAAAAAATTATTTAACACCTAATTAATTAGCTCGTTAAGTTGGCCTTTTAATTTATTACTTATTCTAATACAATTGTTTTCTGAATTTCTCATAGTGTGTATTGATTCCGGATATGCACAAACTAATAACTGTGGGTGAGTTTATACATTATATAATAATTTAAAAAATCTCATTTGATATATAATAATATGTTCAATTAAATATTATATGTAAAAATAAATATTTGCATTTATTTTTCAAACAGACCAGAGAGATTTCAATGTCGCGATGGAGATTGCATAGCCGGCGAATTGTTATGCGATGGTAAAGCGAACTGTAAGGATTCGTCCGACGAGACCCGGACCGAATGTATGAGATCGCAGATTCTGTGTCCCGATTATGCTTTTCGATGTACATACGGCGCGTGTATAAACGGGGACGCCGTCTGCAACGGCATCCAGGATTGCGTCGACAATAGCGACGAAACGCAACCCCAGTGCTCGAGAACAAGCGGGAACAATAATCAAACAGCAAGACCTGCACAATGCAGATCGAATCAATTTACGTGCGACAACGGACAATGCATAGACAGTACCGATGTGTGTGATGGGACTCGAAATTGTTTAGACGGCTCCGACGAAACAGATGCGAGATGTAGATCATTGACGTAAGAGAGCAATTCTGTTTTTTTTTCTTATTTTTTATAGCTAATTAATGTTTCCTTTTCAACAGGGTGTTTATACTCAAATTTGGTAAAAGAATTCCTTGAGAATCCTCCGATATTTAAAAATTTAAGATAAAATCAGAAAATTTGTAGATGTAGCTTTTTAAAAGATCCTTTATTGTATACGTTTTTAAATGTTTTCTATTCATACGATTGGAAAGTTCTCAAGAATGCAGTTTTTCTAGCATTTTAATGTTGATTTATTAATTCTAAAATTAATTTGGACAATAATAACAAATTGACAATAAAGAATTGATATATCATTATATCTAAACTTTAATCGCTAAAAATATATGCAAAAATATAAAATAAAAATAGAAAACAAAAAATAATTTAATATAAATGTCTTAAGGAATATTAATTTATTTAAATTATTTATTAAATATAATAAGGGGTACTAATTTATTTCAATATTATCTATTAAAAATTGAATAATTTTTCATGAAACTTACATAAGATCTTATTATTACTGAAATAGATCGTCAATAAAGAAAATAACATATTTAATAAAAACTTAAATATTGCAAATATATGTTAGACATATGTTCTTAAATGCTAAATAAGAGTATAATTATCAAAATGACTATTTTTTTCCTTGAATTTTATTCATTAAATTCTATGAGAATTCTTTGATTTTTCAAGATAAAATAACCCTTAATTCCCTGAAAATATACCAGGTTTTTAAGATTTTTTCCGGGAATATACATCATTCTATTTAAATACAATTCCAATTAGCATATATTAGAAAATAGATGTTTTACAATCGATAATTTTTTTGCAGGTGTCCACCGACAGTTTTCCGTTGCAATTATGGAGCTTGCATTGACGGTGACCTACGATGCAACGGAATAAGCGAGTGTGCTGATGGATCGGATGAGGATTCAAATTTGTGTAGCGGAAGTGGATGGCCGTCGCCGTTACCGTCGGTGCGACCACCATTAACATCAACAACAACGGGACGATCACCAGTAGAGACTTCTTCTGTGACATCTGGCACAAGGACTTGTAAAACTCCACCACAACTGCAAAACGGTCACTGGAGGTTGCATCGATTGCAATGCTCAAATATAGAACAGGATTGTGATATTCCAGAAGGAGTAAATCTAGGACCAGGATCTCATTTAGTTTACTCTTGTAATCCTGGTTATAAAATACAAGGTTCTACTGATGTAAGCTGCAGTTTGAAGGAAAATGGCTTAATATACCAACTTGCACAGGTATAATATTGATAATTATATATTTGTAAATTATATAAGTATTTTGAGAAAATATATATACAGAAGAAAACAAGTATTTTTAGAAATAAATATAACATTCATAGTGCTAAAGTATTTTAATGTAACAAACATCTTACATGTGTGATTATGCGTTATAATTAAATGTTTAAAATATTTTTTGATAGAAATACGTTGCAAAGCTTTGAATTCAGCATCAACTAATGCTGAATGCACATACGACGATGAGTGGGTGTCTTGTGATTCTCCAGTTGTACCTAGGACAAGGGCGAAAGTGACCTGCCGAGATAGTTATCGACATGAAAGTAGTCTACTTTCAAGACAAAGAGATGTTGTGAGATGTAATATGAATGGTCAATGGGATCCAGAACCTATACGATGTGTTCCAGGTCCGCTCACAATAAATATTTATCTTAACAATACTAAACTTTTGTTAAATACGACTTTAGATAGAAATAATGCAACATTTATTGAAATTTTGAATGATAGAATTATTATATATACGAATGTTAATGATCCAAATTATCCAAACATAGATATTAGGATACCAAAGCAAAGTAATGATTTAGCAACAGAAAACCCTTGGAAATGGTCTTGAAATTATAGAGAAAAGTGATAGATTATAAATAATAATTTTTCAATAATTTTATTTTTATAGTTAGCATAATCACATTATTGTTATGTCATCATTCACGTTGAGATAATTCACATTAGTGTCTTCCTATGTACTATAATTTGTATTTAAGTTATAATTTGTAATTGTTCCCTAATGAACCAAAGCTTTAAGTATTATTAAAATAGGTTTCATTTTTGTACTGATGCACAAATTTATATATATGCATAAAATGATACTAAATTTTAAGTGCAAAGTATATTTAATAAATTTATTTAAAACTTTTATAAATACAATATTAATTCCAATCTCTTTTCCCATCCTACTAATTGCAAGATTTCATGCAATCACAATAATATGCAATAGAATTATAGTTATTGTGAATTATCTCCTTTAGATATTATATGCGATTATAAATAATTATAAATAAAATAAATTATGCTTAATGCGCTCTTTTATCTTATCATGCTAGAACGACTTCTTCAATTAAAATATTTGTTATAGTATGCGGTATACCGTTGCCAATGTTACACCGCTGATTATAGGCGGTGTTACACCTAATATCACGGAATTTCCGTGGCACGCTTCACTGTACCTTGATGTACAAGGCACGAAAAAGAAAATTTTCTGTGGAGCATCCATCATTCAAGAAAATCTCTTGATAACAGCAGCTCATTGTATATATCATGAAAACACTAGGCGAGTGGTTGATCCCAGGAAGATTTACATAGCAACAGGAAACATCTTCCGCGATTACGAGTCACCCTATCATGATCCAGTCATCGTTAAAAAGAATCAGGTTTGCAAATTCATATGTAACAATTATCTGACGCAATAATGTCAGTTTGCACATATTAATTGTTTATGTATTCCTTTTCTTGCAGGTGAAACATATTTACATTATTTGTAATTATCTAGGACTTTTAGGAAATTATATCAGGGATATTGCGATATTAGAACTTGTTGAACCATTCGTATTATCGGCTACGTTAGTTCCTGTATGCATAGATCTTCTCAGCGATAGAACTGTATTGGAAGCAGGCGCAGAGGGAAAGGTAGCAGGGTTTGGTAGAACCGAAATTGGTGATTCCAGTGCAATCTTACAATCTTTGAAAGTACCATACATTCCATTCAATCAATGCAAATCTGCAAGCCAAGAGGCTAATACGCAACAATATCTCACTACTGATAAGTTTTGTGCAGGCTACACAAATGGTTAGTAATCAAGAATAATATATAATATATTAGTCAATATATTAGTGAATAGTTTTTTTAGTAAAGTTGACAAGAATATATTGATTATATTGTTTTATATAATTAAAAAATTTAAATAATTATATATAAATAATTATTTAAGATTTTTAATTATATAAAACAAGAAGGAAAATCTCTTTCTGTTCTTTTTGGCTGAACTGGCTTACATTAGTTCAGAGTTTATCTTTTTACTTTCCATTGGAGGGAAAGAGATAAAAACTCTGAACTAGTCCAGCCAGTTCAGCCAAAAAGAAGAGACCTATATATTTTTTAGCCTATAAGAATGATTATCTCGTAAAGGTAAAACAAATAATATAATAAGTAGGGATAACTTTCTAGTCACACATAAGTCATAAATATCATAAGCAGTATATATATTTCAGGTTCTTCTGTTTGTAATGGTGACAGTGGTGGTGGATTGGTCTTTAAAACCAATGGTTTGTGGTATCTCAGAGGTATTGTTAGCGTTTCCCTAGGTACGATACTACAAGATGGAAGTGCTCGTTGTGACAATAATTTGTATTCCTTATACACACAAATATCCAGTCACGTTGATTGGATACAAAATGTAATTGCTAATGTAGAACATAATCAGTCATATCATTATGCACAAGTAAGACTTAAATATTATACTTTTCCAAATTTATAAATGGTACTATTGAGATTATTATGCATGATCATTAAATTAATTTTGTTATGTATTGATATATTCTATATTACATGAGATTGTGTGTGATCGTGTAAAATTGCGATTTTGTCCAATAAAATAATTAAAAACTTGAAAAATAATTTTTTTTTATGTAATCAATATTAAAATTAATTTCAATAATAAATCTTGAAATTTAATAGTATTTATAAATTTTATCATTAATTGATTGCAATTTTCATATTACAATTTTAATAATATTATTTTATAAATAACAATATAAATAACGTGAGTAAAAGATAATGTATGTAAAAAATACAGAGAAATTCGTATAAATTCAGTTGCTCTATATATTTTTAGTTTTAACTTCAAAGTATTAAGTCACAAAATTTTAAGAAACATTCAAAATCATTTTCTTTTTTATTTCCTTTATACATAATATACATGTATTCATATATATAAATTATTTTTCGTACATGCAATGAAATATTTAAGAGACAAGAGATGAAGTTATTATACAATTATATTATTATGCTCTATTGTTGCATCTTAGAAATATTGAGGTTTCTTTAATGCCCTTTCCTTATGGGATGGTACAGCTGGTACAGTTATGTTTTTGTCAGGTGAAACTAAACCTATATTATAAATATTACCTTATTAGTTTATATAAAACATAATAATAAAATCTATATTTACCTTCCATGCGTAAATCTTGCAAACGTTGCTCCAATTTGTAATTTCTGGATTTGATTCAGAAACTGTATTAGGAATATTTACATTGTCTTCATCCAATAATTCTGCTAATTCTTTTTCCAACTCGGTATCCGAGTCTGTGAGATTTAATGTCTCAGATAAAACTGAGTCTATTTCTTTTTTTTCTTCTAGAATCTAGTCAACAAATAATAGATATTAAATACATGATAAAGTGTTACTCTTATTATAACCATTTACTAAGTAATACATAATAATTGCTTACTTCGTTAATGTCATCCATAACATCTCTAACATCATATTCCGTTAAACCCTTTTGTCCAATTTTTTTCAATACATCAGATCCAGTCTTGTAAGCAGACAATACAGCAGAATTTGAATGTGCATTTCCAATATTGCTGATTAGAGTGCGTAGGTTTGCAAGAGCTTGAGCACGCTTTTCTATTGTCTTTTCTAATTCCACTTTTCTTCTTAAGCATGTTTTTGCCGTCTGGCGCAATTCTTTTGCCAAATATGATTTTGCTTCATTGATAATATTGAGTTTCTCTTGCTCCATAAGTTCTATCTCTTTGACCAGCTCATTTTCTTGCTTCAGCAGTTTATAAGTGCCTTCTTCTATTTCTGTAATTTCATTTACTGTTTGTGTAGAAATTTTAACAAGTAATTCACTATTTGAATTAAAATTTTTTCTAAAAGCAACTTTTTTTCTACGTCTTAACCACTCCAACACTAATCTCACTGTATTCTCTGAAATTTGTTTCTTAGTTTTGCTCTCACAATATCTCACTATTTCAGAAATCGTGAATAAAACATTATCTTTTTTAATGTCAGCAATGGAAAGAATAATATCACCCAATTCACGAACAATTCGCAAGTGTATGTATCTCACTTCGGTGTTATTTGCATTCTGGCCTACTATATAATTCTTTACTTTGGAGAAAGACCAGCTAATTGGTTTTTTTACAAATATATCAATTGACCATGCTGTCCATGTTTCACATGGTTCTTGTAAAAAATCTGTCTCGTGCATTATTTCATTATTTCTGGAAAATTAAAAAAATATATATGTATGTTAAGTATGTAAAAATATATATGTATGTTAAGATATGATTAAAGAGTGCATTAAATTAGATAATATATCTATTATAAATAATAGAAACAACATAATAATTATCTTATTATAATAATGACATTTATTAACTAATAATTGATTAATGATTAGTAAATCAAATCATACCAACATAACTAGTTAAAATATTTAATTAATTTACTATATATTATATTTAATAGACTCTAATACCTGACAAGTTCTTCAATGACGGTAACCAGACAAAGAGGTGTACAACCTCTTCTTTTAAAAGCTTCATTTAAATCAATAACAGAAAAACTGCATTGCATAGTATGTGCTAGCCATTCGTATATCAAATTATGCCAGAATTTGTATTTAGAAATCCAATCTTGTGGATTGGCTGATTTACTGCGAAATGGTGAGAATAACGCACTCATTCTCTCTTCTTGATTCCAACATTCTGGTAGTTTATCTGCTGGTAGCGGAGGACTGCCACTGATGTTTTTATTGACCATTTTATTGTCAATATTGATTTCTTTCATGTGAAATCAATTATATAAAATCTCTTAGTCTGTTTCTCAAGTTAGGTTAAAGATATTGCTTGGCTAAAACAAAAGTATTCTATTTTACAAATCTTTATTAAGCTTTCTTCCCATTTTGATTCAACTGATCGTAAATGACGGGATTTGTGCTACAAATAAAAAAATACATATTATTATAGCTAAAAAATAATACAAAACTCTTTAAAACGCAATAAATGAATTCTGAATGTTATTATAATAAACTCTGAATGTCATTACGAAATTCAATATTTTGATAAATGTAAATTACTTTAGACAAAACTGCTTCGTTATGAGAAATTGCTGAATTATCTCTCTGCTATCACACATATAATAATTATAAATTTGTTTACTTTATTAGGCCATGCACCATGCACTTTTATTTTGATTGCTTCATGCGACTTTTTTATCCACTGTAAGTAAAAATGTAACATGATCACTATATTATCTACAAGAGATGGCGACGTTGTAAGTTTTCTTCCTGGAGTTGTATCATCGTACGTTGACAGATTCAATTCAAAATTATTGATGCAAAATGGGTGTGAAGGATTTATGGAATATTTTATTGCCTTTGTGCGAGAGAAAACCGCTGTACGAGCTGCAGGGAAAGACGATTGCGATTGATTTAAGCGGATGGATCGTTGACAGTCAAACGATCGTCGACAATGCGGTACAACCTAGGATGTATCTCAGGTAAATTCATATTCATATAATTTCTTAGATATAGAGCACATAATATTAATTAATTAGTGCACAGTACTTGCATTTTCGCATGTACATTTATGTTACACCGATGAGATGTAATTTATTGATTCCAATTGTGTCGCAGGAATCTATACTTTCGTACGGTGTTCCTCCTAATGCAAGGAATATTTCCAGTGTTTATATTGGAAGGAAAGGCTCCCACTCTGAAACATAAAACTATTGCACGAAGAAATGATGCTCGTAATGGATTTCAGGAAAGAAAGAAAACTGCTAAGAAAGGAGGGAGGACGCAGTTTAATCGAGTTTTAAATGAATGTAAACAAATGTTAAAATTCATGGGTATTGCTTGCGTACAGAGCCATGGTGAAGCAGAAGCTATGTGTGCATATTTAAATGAGGATGGGGTACTTTTATGACTTAATTTTCTTTGATAAACAAATTACTGATTAGTTATAAAGAAGAAATATGTTTTTAGCTTGTAGATGGATGCATAAGTCAAGACAGTGATTGCTTTTTATATGGTGCAAAAGTAGTATACAGAAATTTTTGTACAAGTACTCAAGGAAATCGTGGAGCTACAGCTGGTTCTGTAGATGTTTACAATATGGAAAAGATAGAAAAAACATTGAACATAGGACGAAATAAAATGATAGCATTGGCTTTATTGTGCGGCTGTGACTATAATGAGGGAGTGAATGGTGTTGGAAAAGAAGCTGCTTTAAAATTCTTCAAGACTGTAGATGATAAAAATGTTTTACAAAGGTATGAATATTAAATTCATTTAAAAAATTATATATATATATATATATATATATATATATATAAAAATCAAATTTATCAAAATTATTTATTGTGACTAAGTTTTTTCCTCTTTTCAGAATTCAAGATTGGAGAACTGACACAAGTTTAGATAGAATTGAATCAGATTTATTAAATTCTGATTTATGTACAGTATGTGGTCATCGAGGAAAATTACAAAAACATAAAAAATCAGGTTGTGCTGATTGTGGTACTGTTGAAAAATGCAATGATGACTTCAGGTAATTACTGCATCATATATTTGAGATTGTACTTAATAACTAATTATATAGTGCTTTGTAATGTATATAGAGAAAGGAGAGCACTGATGTTAAATGAAATATCATTGAGGAAAAAGGCACTTCATGATGAAAATTTCCCTAATCAAGAGTTAATAGAAGAATATCTTACTAAGAAAGATTTGGTTCCAACTAAATTGGATATAGAATGGAAGCAACCTCAAGTCAATGCATTTATTGTAAATATATTGTTACATATATATATATTATATGTTATAAAATAGTCTTTTTGTTAAATATTATATTAATGAAATATATATAATCTTTTTCTATTATAGGATTTTATGGAGAAATATCTATGTTGGGAACCACAATATACATTTGAAAAATATTCACACTAACTACTCGATGGCAACTTTTACATCTGCCAGATTTTACACTTGATGAACGTTTGTCTATGTCAAACTTATTTATTCCTGATCAAATAAAAAAGATACGTAATATCAGATCTATAGCCAGTTATGAAATTATTTGGAAGAAGGAACATAGTGCATTAGAAATGTTAGAAGAGTACAAAGAGCAAATACAGCCAAATGACGATAATGATGTAGACAGTTTACTAACAACTATTGAGCCACAAGACTTGGTTTTAAAATGTTACCCAGAATTGGTTGAAGCATTTGAAAGTACTAGAAATGTAAAAACGAAGAAACGAACTATAAACTCTCGCAAAAAGAAAATTACAACAAATACAGAAGAAGATAATATTGGAGTAACAGATATTGCAAAATCTAGACAAAAGAAAGCAAAAAAGAAAACATTAGAAAGCAAAAATAATAGAAAGATTGAAGATTTTATATCCAAAAATCGTTCTATGTCGTTAGAAGAGTCCTTTGAGAATATGGCAATAACACCGAAAAGATCAAAACAGGAAAATACTTTGAGTAAAGTAAATAAATTGAAAACAAAGAATGTGTCTGAAAATGTTGCAGGGGACATAAAACAAATAAAACGCGGGCCACAATTCAAAAAAGTTCTGGAGATAGACAAGATAGATTCAAAATTGAATAATACGATTGATAGGATATTTAATGAACTTTCTCCCAATGATTTCACGAGCGAAAATGAAGATAATGATTTAAATATGACGAATATAATAGACAATATATGTAATAAACGAATCTTTCAATTTAGTGTAAGAAATTGGCAACCTACGGAATCTATTAACCAAGAAAATGCAGAAAATTATCCAGAGTATAAAATTGACGAAAATAATTCTCTGACATACAAGGAAAAATATGTTGAGAATGAAAAACAGAAGTTAGATGATCCTGATGATGAATTTGGCGATATCAGTGAATTGTATATTCCAATTAATCAAAGAATACAGAAAGAAGAAAGGAAGTTTTTAAAGATATGCAATCAAATAGAATATTCTAATTTTGCTTTTGAAAATATTATGGACGAAACCGATAATGGAAATATACATTTAGATTCGTGATATTATATAAAGTACGTCGTTTTTAGAAAGTTGTATTTATCAAGTATAATGTAGAAAGTTCTGCAATATTAAAAAAATATAAATAAAAATATTATGTGTCCATCGTCAGGTTTTCAAAATATAAAATGCATAATAAAGATCAACATATTACAATATATGACAGTGACATATATGGATCATTATTCTTAAGTCAATTTTTAAATATATTATATAATTATTATATTTTCAGAATTATAATTAAAGATAAATCACATTTTATTAAGGTATATAAATTATTTGAATTATATTAAAAGATAAATGTTTCACTCAAAATGTATATTATATATGTGTGTAAGATCATGTTTAGATCATGTTTAGATCACACATGTTTAGTCCATTTAAGAGAGAGAATTGAAAATTTCTATGCAAATTTTTAATTTGTAATATTTTTTCTCTAATATTACTGTCATTTTGTAAAATTTTGTACATTAAGTCTTATAAATTATGTCTGAACTTTTTATTTTTATACATAGAATAATTTTTTATCTAATAAAGTAATCATAATATGAGATAGAGATATTTTATTTTTTATGTATCTATGAGATTAGATTATTTTAATATCTGCCATATTCCATATATTACTTCTAATAATTTACAAAATTTTTAATATTTTGAAAAAGATTTTATTTCTTTATCTTTCTTTTTTGTATGTCGAATTTATTAATGATTATTTTTAATTATCTTTATTTTATATTTGTTTTTTTGATTGATTAAAAAAAATTTTGCAAGGAAATTTTATCTTGATTATATCCGTCTGCACGATTTCCTTTTTTTTCGCCGAACATCATAAAGAAGAGCCAAGCTTTAGTAATATCCGGATAAATAAGCCGACAAAGAGGTAAGTGAGGTAAATAAATGTGATTATTTCGCAATAGAATTGTCTTTTAAACTGTGAGATTATTTAATAGTTTTGTGATATTAAATCGAAATTTTAGGAAACGAAAAAAGGGTTTTTTTGATACGGATAATCGACTATTAATTGGTTACTAAATTGCTAATTCTTTTTAATCTTTTATTAATAATAGAGCATGCAATCGCATTATTTATGAGCCTTTTATGTTCTTTGTAAAAGTTCATCGTTTATTTGATTGTTATATTTTGAGGATCAATACTATCATGATAATATAAAGATTTTTGTGATTATATAATTATTTATAACTAACAATAAGTTAGGAATAGATTAAAAATAACGATTGTTCTTGATCGAGATTCTAATCTGCAGTACAAACAAATTGCTCTTGTAAAAACAAATTATCGATTCCATATTACTGAATAAGATCAATTAGAAAATTAATTAGTTTTATATGTATATAAGACATTATAAAACTTTTAATACTCTTTGCGTTTCTGTTTGTCAATCGATAACTTTTAGAGATGCTTGAAATTACTTTCCTTAAATCATAACGAGACATCATGGCTGCATCTTAATTTAAATTAAATTAAAAAGGTTGAGCAAATAGATCTGGAAATTTGGGCAAAATATTTATATTTATATAAATTTAAAGACGAGGGCAATGGATTTATAAACTTCAATATTATTTATAATGTAATATAATTATATATAATATAATTTTTATATATTATTAAAAGATAATTTCTAATTTGAATTATTACAAGAGAACGGTGAAATAACAACTTTTTTGATTAGATTTTTATTAGATTATTTCTTTAGTAATGCAAAAAATTATTGATGACGGTATAAAAATGATGAAATTAAAGAAATAAGATTAAAAACAATTATACAGTTTAAATGAGTTGAAAAAATGATTCCAAGACATGCGTGATGTGATAAAATTCTTATTAAAAAAGAGAGAAAAGGGGATAGACACTAATGCAATTTATTTATAGAAAAATATATAACAATCACTGTAGTAATCGGATTTTACGAAGTTTTAAGCAGGATTTTAGTATTGATTTCCAACTATCCAACTACTTGTGCAATAATTCGATTGAGAACTATCGTTGAGGACCAATCATCATAAAATATATTTGCCGTCTTATTGAAATTGAGAAATGTCAGTTTGTCGATATAACTATATATATATATTGATAGCTCTATATATATTACTGTTCAAAAATTTGAAATATCCTATCCTTTTTAGAAGATATAATTATATTTTTTTTATAAATTAATATATATATTTAATATTTTATTTAAAATTTTATTAAAAATACCGACATTTATAAACGTATATTATTATATACATGTATTATTTTAATCAAATTTAAAATTAAAATAACAATATATATATATATATATATATATATATATAAAATTACAAATATTTAAAAAATATGATATGTAAGAACTGTACATAAGAAGTGTCCCACTTTTAAAGAAAACTTTTGGAAAAATTTTATAAGAGGTTTATAAGAGCTTTGATATTGTCAATATCGGAAAAACTATCCCAAAATTAATTACCTGAATGTCCAAATTAATTACCAGAATCTCAAAATTATTATTATATAATACGTCGAAGAAAGGATTTTTTTTTTGTGAAAAAGAAAAAGTTAAGCAATTTTATTTACTAACGTAAATGCATGTATCTTTTTGCTGTTTATTTTTAAATATTATCCAAATAATGTATGTTAGTAAATAAATATCGACATATTAGATAAAATAATTGTATCTAAAAAAATATAAATTTAAATATAAAAATTGGATGCGCTAAACTTTTGAACGATAATGTAGATGTAGAAAATAATATAATAATTGTATACATATTTTCAAATTTCTGTTCGCGAATATAATAGTTACAATTATGAACGACAATTAAACTCGCATTAGCACATTTAATTTTAATATAAGTTTTCGAAGTATGAGTTTATTGAACAATTAATTGAACAAATTTAAGAAAATAGCTTCTGTCTCTAACTTTTTTCTATTCAAATTCATTAAAAATATAATTAAAAAATATTGCATATGATTTAAACCTAATTATATAAGGACTAATATATAATAATTATATAATATAAATTTATTATTCATCATATAATATAAATAATCATTATATAATATAAAATTATTATTTAATTGTATGCAAATAAAAAACTGAAGTATAGTTATTAGGAAAGCGCGGTTCAAGTTACAGTTAAAGTTTTAATTATTAAAATAGTTGACGATAATTTTATACAATTATTAATGTATTCATATTTTGATTTATTTGTTAAATATCAGTAAAGGCGATATTTTCTGCCATTTAAATCGGGAAAGAATTGATAACTGAACAAATCTATAAACAAAAATATTTTTGTGAGACATACTGGATTTTGCGGTATTGTTATAATTGCATACTTGCTCTTGCTCTGTTCGAATATGCAGCCCATGCGTTTTACACGCATTACGTATACATCGTTGCCTGTATTGGAACGGGGGCGGACAGCGAGGGTCGATGGGGGTGGTTGCTGGGATTTTCAGTACGCGCGCGGTCTTCGTGCCGAAAACATGGTTCTTCCTGAATATTCGTGTAATCTTGAAGTTCGCATGTGCGATTTACAGTTAATTGCTAATAAGATAATATAAAAGACGACACTCGACGATACACATTATATTTAACGTATTATTAAAAGTGTGTAAATTTGTGAATTAAAAAAGAAATCATTTTAATAATTATACGCGTCCTTAATTTAAAATGCAAGTTAAAATAAATATTCAAATAAAAATTATAATAAATCTTTATGTTAATTTTTAAACGCATTTCAATAAATGCATTCTTATTAGATATGTGGGAGATAAACCGATAAAGTGTAATTTTGAATATTTTTTAGAGGATAATTAGCTGCATATCTACTAATGAATTTATCACGCCGACAGTTTGTGTCTAAACTCCGCTATTAATTCAATAATCTGATAATAGATCAAATAAAACGATAAATAGATAAACATATCATAGATAATTATAAATGTTGCATAAATTAATTATTAAATATATATTAAAAATAAATTATTTTATATATATTATATTCTTTGAAACTAAATATATTAAAATATATACGCATTACAAATAGCAATATTTTATTAATAACGGAAAAGTTAATAAAGTAATTATTTTGTAGTAGAAGTACTAAAAATTTAACAATATTTTAATTGATTTTAATTTTATGTGTATACATATAATAAAATCTTTCCTACTAGAAAACTGTATAAAAATATATTATATTAATCACAAAAATAATTGTAATATGTAATTTAATAATGTAGGTGTTAATAAGATATATATATATATATATATATATATATATATATATATATAATATATATATATTCACACTTAAAAAAAACATAATTGATGTTTGAATTGTTTTACTTTAGAAAATTATGCTATACTACAATCTAAATTTACATTTTTACATACTTATTTTTACAAAATATTGACGCGGGTTATTGTGTGTCCACGATACGAAATATGCGACATTATATGAGACACTATACTTTATGGGTAACATGCTTGATGTTTTAATTAATAAAGTCTTATAAGACGAGACTGTGTAGACAGTTAATGCGACACATACGTTAACGTTTGCATTATGATATTATAATCATAACTCATGATATTCAATTTACATATGTTCTTCATTACAACAGTAATTGCATTATACGCACTAACTAAACTATGTAAAATTAATAACTAATATAGATTAATAGACTATGTATTTAATTATGTTATTTATATATGCTAGTAAATGATGTACATAATTAATCGTGTAAGTTGAATTAATATCGCACTTATGAGATAAATGTGATTGATGCGTGTAATTAATACATCTGGCTATTAATCATTTGGTAAGTAATATTTAACTATAATTAAATATTTTATTAATATTTATTCAATATAATTTAAGTTCTATACTGGCTTTAATATTGTAATTTTTGCTTTTTATAAATATTTGAAAGTTTTTACAATAATAGTATAAAAAATTTTTATTCTATAAAAATAAAAGTACAGAAATTATATTATAAATTATATTATCGATAGTATAAATTTTAGTATAAGATTGTAGAAGCATAAGAAAAATAGAGGAAAAATGGTCAAAGGAAAGCTTATATAAGACAAAGTTTACAAGCTTTGATGCAC